GATTGTAGAGCACGCACAAATTGAACCTCTGAGAACAAAATGCAGTAGTAGAGAGTGCTTTAGTAAGGATATCAGCCCCTTGCAAAAAGGAAGGAACATGCCGAAGGAGAATAAAATGAGAAGCAACCTTTTCACAAATAAAATGAATATCAATTTCAATGTGTTTAGTTCTCTAATGTTGAACAGGATTAAAAGACAGATAGATAGCACCAAGATTATCACAATAAAGCACATGTGCTGAAGAAAGAAAAATCTGTAACTCAGCCAACAATTGTCGAACCCAAACCACCTCAGCAATAGCATTAGCCATAGCATGATATTTTGCCTCTACACTAGATCGAGCAATTGTGTGTTGCTTCTTAGAAGACCAGGAAATAAGAGACCAACCAAAGAAAAAAAAATAGCCTGAGCTAGACTAATGACTATCCAAACATCCAGCCCAATCTGCATCAGTGTAAATATGAAGAGAAGGAGAAAAATCATTGAAAAGTTGAAGCCCATGATGCAAAGTACCCTTGAGATATCGAAGAATTCCTTTCACAGCTTGAAAATGAGTTTCTGTGGGATTATGCATATACTGACAATCTTAATTAATAGCAAAAGCACTATCAGGACAAGTAAAGGTTAAATATTGTAAGGCACCAACAATGTTACGATATTGTGTTGAGTTGGAAAAGGGAGGACTATTATTAGCAACAAGCTTCTATTTAGGAGACATAGGAGTGGACACAACTTGACACTCAGCCATTCCAGTACGAACTAGGAGATTAGAAACATACTTGGTTTGACTAAGAAATAGACCATCAGAATTGAAATGAGCAGTGATCCCCAAAAAATAATTCAATGTACCCAAATATGTCATCAAGAACTCTACCTTCAACAAAGAAATAATCTTGTGCAAAAGATGATGAGTACAAGCAATCAAAATTATGTCATCCACATATAAAAGCAATATAACCAACATGCCATTTGATCGGTACATAAACAGAGAACAATCAAAATATGCTTGAGTAAATCCACATGAAAAGAGGAAAGTAGCAAACCTCTAAAACCAAGCATGAGGTGCTTGTTTTAATCCATAGATAGCCCATTGAAGTAAACAGACATAATCTGGTTGGTGAGAATCAAGAAAGCTAGGGGGCTATTCCATGTACACTAGTGTAGATAATTTACCAATGAGAAAGGCATTCTTGACATTTAGTTGATGGATTGGCCAAGATTAAGAAATAGCAAGAGTGAGAATGGTGCGGATAGTAACCGGTTTAACCACTAGACTAAAAGTCTCATCATAGTCCACCCCAGGCTGCTATGTATATCCCTGAGCAACAAGACGAGCTTTGTACCTTTCAATAGTACCATCAGATCTTTGTTTAATGTGAAAAACCCATTTAGAGCCGACAACATTAGCATCTAAAGGTCGAGGCACCAAAATCCAAGTGTTATTCTAAAGAAGAGCCTCATATTCATCAAACATAACTTGTTTCCATTCGGATTGCAACAAAAAGGGGTGTCCATAAGATGAAAAAGTGTGTGAAAGGAATTGCATGGTTTGGGTGTGAGTGTTGTAAGGAAATGTATTCTCATCAAAGATGACATGTCGAGACAAAATAATCTTGTTAGTCTCCAAATCAAGACAACAATACCCTTTATGATGGCTAGGATATCCCAAAAAAATGCATAATGAAGAGTGAGGAGCCAACTTATATGCTGTAGTAGGAGAAAGATTAGGATAGCAAGCACACCCAAATACCCATAAATGGGCATAAGCCAGGGCAGTGCCATACAACAATTCATGAGGTGTGGAAAAATGTAGCCTAGAACAAGGTAAAATATTAATGAGGTCAACAGCTACATAAAGTGCTTCCACCAAAAATTTACTAAGCAATTTTGCTTGAAATAACAAGTATCAAATCATATTAAGAATTCTTCAATTATTCGCTCGGCTTTCCCATTTTTTTGGGTAGTCGAGGGACATGAAGAGCAAAGATGAATACCACATGTCTAGCAAA